CAAGATCTTTGTCTCGTCCATCGTATTTGTGTATAAATCGTTAATACTAAGCCAATATATGTGACCACAGCATGATAGTTAGTAGAACTCCTGTTTGGTTTGTCAAACATCGACCTTACTTCTTTCTATGGGGCTCACAGAGCGAAAAATGGTATAATAACCCAGACAGCGTAAACTAATATCTATCTGATACGAGGACTGGTATTACACAATGTTTGTGTCTTGTGGTAGAGCGTTATAGTTGGTGTTGGAAATAAGGCACTTCATTTACTCAGTTCACAAACCTAATACACGATTCCTGACTATTGTTTCAATAAACTGAATAAACTACATTCATCATGGAATTGCTTGCTTCTGTGTTAATAAAGATAAGCAGGTCAACTTGTTTTTCTTAGTTATTAGAAGCAATTTTCAACATACTCATTTTATTTGTTGTCTTTCAACATACAATTTGAGTAGGGGCGTCATCACTAATGTCTTCGCATGTGCTTTTTTAACCTTCATTAAAACAATTACGTTAATACAGTATCATAGTCTGTTATATGTTTATTTTTTTGTAAACGAAAACCGAAGCTTCCCTGCATGCTGCTTAACTTGGTGATGATACAGGAAGAGATAAGGAAAATAACTAAAGGGTAACAGCTATACAATTGTCAGTTTTATGTCTATTTTGTGTGAACTAAAAACGAAGCTTCCTTGCATGTCGATTAACTTAGTGATGAAACAATGAGATATTTGTTTTTCATGAATATTTGATTATACAGGACATGTATTTCTCCTCGTTGCGTTGTTAATTTGAGCCTAAACTGTCACAAGTCCACGCTACGTTGTTCATTGAAGCCATTATTGACACTAGTCACGTCACTTTATATGTTGAAGCCAGTATTGTCACTAGCCACGTCTCGTTGTTCGTTGAAGCCAGTTCTGCCAACAGTAGTTTTAACCATCTGTAAGGTTCCATATCAAATTAATTGTTTTTTGTTTTATTTTGTTTATTTTGTTTTCTGCCTTATCGCGACAAACTTTGTATGGGCGTTTTGCTTCGTCGCTGACACATCTATACCTAAATAATGCACCCTTATATAGCAAACACGACTAGATAGATAGATGTTTTGCTAGTGTCATAGGATTCCCATTGAGTCCTGTGTCATTTGACACGTATTGTTGTATACACCGCAGGGAAGGTTAACGTCACACATCATAATTTTATCGCTGTTGTTTTTTGGATTGTAACCATTACAAGCATTACACACCACAAAATCCTGCCGGATCGTTGTTTTCCTGGAATGTATTATTACACCATAATAATATAGAATTTAATACAACGTAACTGTATTATTTTGTTGTTACCTTCTACTGCGCAATGAAAGACCGATTGATTAATTGATCGCTGACGGAGGCATTCCTTTTATTAGATAGATTATTTCAGTCTGACAGCTTCAGACTAGGGAAATGTATGTCTGCCTTACATTCCCAACGTAATAGTGTTCGTTTATTACTTATCGTTTCTTTGTCTTAATAATTTATCAATACTTGTTTAAGCCAAAGATCCAATGTGGCTGAGCGGCTAATTAAGCTGTTGCCACTCCCTTGGTGATTAGTATGACTCATTTTCGTGTCCTGCTACACCTTAAGGAGTCTTCCAACGTAACAGAGAATATCCAACGTCACAGAGAATGTCTAACGTCATAGAGAATATCCAACGTCACAGAGAAAACCCAACGTCACAGAGAAAGTCCTACTTCACAAAAAAAGTCTAACGTCACAGAGAAAGTCCAACGTCACAGAGAATTTGCAACGTCACAGAGAATATCCAACGTCACAGAGAATGTACAACGTCACAGAGAATATCCAACATCCCAGAGAATGTACAACGTCATAGAGAAGGTCCAACGTAAAAGAGAAAGGTCAACGTCAAAGAGAAAGTCCAACTTCACAAAGAAAGTATAACGTCAAATAGAAAGTCCAACGTCACATAGATTGTCCGACGTCACAGAGAAATTACAACGTCACAAAGACAGTCTAACGTCACTGACAATATCCAACGTCATAGAGAATATCTAACGTCACAGAGAATACCTAACGTCACAGAGAATGTCCAAAGTCACAGAGAATACCCTACGTCACAGAGAATGTCCAACGTTAAAGAGAAAGGTGTCGGTTTTTCGTATTTGTATCGGTCATCGGGCCATCAACAGTATGAGTCATTTAGGGCCAAACAACACTGTACATGTAAATATAGAGATTCACAAGAATGAACACATCAAACGAAAACTCTATAGATTAAATTTGTAAAGATAAATCATGTTTCTTATTGTAAAGACCAATGCAGTGTGAAAAGTCATATATACACTCAATTTATCTTTACAATAAGACAGCATATATTTTACAATCGTGCCGGTTCAGGGAAAGAATAGGCCTACTGTATCAAACTGCATGATCGTAAGAGGCGACTTATGTGTTGGGTCCTGCATAAACGTTTTTTTTTTGTTTTTTTTATCTTTGTCGTCTTGTTTTGGGGACATCGAAACCAAGAATATGACTTGCTGTTTCCAAGTACATGTGCATCGTAAAAGGCGACTAATGTTGGTTCCCCTGTAGAGACGGGGATTTCCTTCTGTGTTTTCTACTAAGAAGCTCACTAAAGAGACCAAATTCGATCTGCTGTCTCTATGCAAAAACTTGGATCAACAACAATTTCATGTTTTACAGAAATGCGTTTGTTATTGATGCAGGTAACAGTGATAACTTAGCTGACCTTAGCTGTAAATAGGACGTTTAACGAAATAAAACCAAACCAAACCACGAGAGGAACAAACTCGACTCGACGGCACACCGTTCGGTTTTGCTCCGTCCACATTGCTAATAGCACGCTATCGTTTTCGTTAAAGGAATAAACGGTACACCGGTATGCAAGACATTTATTAGTGACATAATTTTGTATTTGTTGAATGTCTATTATCAAAGTGTTAAAAATGTGACATGTTTAATTGTTGTTGCCAATACCATCTTAATTGACTGACCCTTTTTAATAACGACAGTAAAAACTTTATTATATTGTCATTGTCACTATGAAAGGTTTGACAATTTATCAGGGAAAGCAAATATAGCTAAATGTACTAACACTTAATGGTTCATATCAATATGGAAATGACACGATAGCAATGTATCGGGGTTTCCCGGTATTGTCAACCTAATACATTTAATATGGAAAACCACTTTCAAACACAGTATGTAAATATATAAACACACACACACACACACATATATATCAAGATAGTTTTAATCTAATTTCTCACACATTTGTATGAGTAGAAACAAAACCTCAAACTAAAACATCAATAACGATTTGTTCGATGTTTATTAGACAATGTTTTCGTTCCATGCTGTCACATGTTTACAAAAGATGACTAAGAATCGTATTTACATCTGAAGTGTCAAGTGTCTGGTAATACGGAAAGGGTCTTAACATATTTGTCACTTTACTCATCAGAAAAGGGGCTTAACCGATTGTATAATTGATTGGGTGTCCGGCAGAAAACAGGAAATGGTGATGTTCACGGTTACAAGTGGTGTCAGTTCGGGAGATCAGACATCTTCCAACAATGGGAAGCCAGTTTACTGGCCGTGGACTTTGGTGGGAGTAGTGCACTTACTCCCTTGAATATGATTTATACCATTACTATTGTACTGCCAGTCACGTACGAGGTCAAAGGCATCACATGTTGGCACTGCTTTCCTTAATAAAAAAAGAGGCCCTGTGGCAACTGGTATATATCTCGTACCGGTTACCATAAACGTGGACCAACCAGGATGATTTGGTCATTAATAAGAAATACTTTGACAGATTTCTGAAACATTCTACACTTGTGACCTTAAAAGTGGGTCACGGATCATTTACTTGAGTAAACATGGTAGTCCTTCATTCCAGCTTGTTACCGGCCGAATAACATCATCATAAATAATGGCAATACCGTAGCTATTTAATAGGACGTTAAACAAAATAAAACCCAATCCAACCAGTGACCTTTAACTTACTGAAAAGAAAAATGAATCTGTAGATATTTTAATATTTCTGACCGATTGAGTAAATAAACTGATTGAATGAATAAATCTGGTATACATCTTGTAGAAATAAATGCAGTCCGTCCGTCATCAGACATTTAGAAATATTGAAATCTGTGTCTTGGTGCAGTATTGATTTTATTGTCATTTTGTGAAATATTAACTTTGGTGTAATTTTTTGTTGTTTAAAAATGTAAAATTAAACACCAAAAGCATGTTGACAGTGAAATTCCCCAGGCTTTGACACTCTTTGTTTTCTTTAACAAAATCCGGAATATATTACTATACGGTAAAGGCGACTACATGTGATCAAATGTCAATTATAAAATAAAAAAACAAAACTAGCATCGATTTTTGAAACTATGTGTTACGTAATAAGGAATTCCGAAATAACTAGGTCAGTCAAAAAACGTATTTCTATAAACAGAGTTCTTTCCGAGAAACAAAAAAGCACAGCTGTTATTCCATAACACTAGGGGCCAAAACAATCCGACCTTAGCATTCTGAGACAGTCCATACCTAAACAAGTCTGGGTTATATCAGTCTCGCGCTCATATTTAATAACATCTCAACCTCTGTGTTTTATGCACCACTCATTCTGTTTCAACAGGAGTTCAGATCGATTTGGATTTCCAACTCTTGAGCTCCTAGCATCACCAAAGATTCATAGAAGGACGAAACAGCTGTTTGATACAGGGAAATTCAACTTACTGGCTTACTGTATATATTACCATTTTTTTTAAAGGTACAATTGTATGGGTGTGTGTAATTTCCATTTTATACATGGTCCTCTACTAAGACAAGTCAATCTCGGTCAGTTACAGGTAACTAATTAGCTTCCCTACACCTCATTATTCCCTTCAAAACTGAGGCTTTGTTTACGTATTTCCGCGTAAAAATATTGCCAGGTCTAATAAAAAATAACCAAGACCATTTTACGATATTAATAATTTTATTCAATGTCCTAAAACAAATGACATCAAACAATAGATTTAACGACTCGTTTTTATTTAGAATATTTTAAATGTGGGTTGTTCGTTGTTTGATTGATTTTTTCGAGTTTAAGGGTCATTGACACAAACAGGTCTTTTGACCCTTGTGCGTCATAAAGAAACTCGAAGAATTTGACACATATCAAAAGCAACTATTATTGTATTATTATTGTATTGTTTAACGGCTCATCGACAATTTGAGTCATTTAGGACCAAACAACAATGTAGAAAAAAGACATTCACAAAACATAAATACATGAAAACTAGAAACTAAAGGTTAAAATGTTTAAAATATGTCAAAATATATCAATAGCAAACGAATTGTTTATGAAATATATAATATCTTATTATAGAGATTAATTGAATGCAAATAATTATAGATTGATTGCACAGAAACTGTATCAAGTAAACGTTTCATTGAGGGTCCATTGTAAAATCTGTCACGTATTTGTTTGAAATCAGCGCATTCAATCATAAAGTGTTTGACTGTAAATGGTTGATCACATACATGACAATAAGGCTGGTCTTCCTTGTGTAAAATGTAAATATTTGTGATGTAGGTATGGCCTATGCGTAGTCGCGAGAGAGGACAACTTCCTCTCTGCGGTCGGCTCTACCTTTTGCACATGAACCTACATTAGGTTGAACTAAAAATAACTTATTGTTTGTTTATTCAGATCAAAGGGTTAAGGTTTGTAAAATTTGAATATCAGTTGTATACCTATTTCCTGTTTGCATTTTTTATGGTGAGTTGTTTAAAACGTTATATTTTATGCTATGTTTATTGAAATATTATATATATCACGAACCTGTTTAAGATCACTTCACTTGACCATAAAATGTTTAACAGTGAATGAAGTATTACCAGCGAAGAGATAAGGCTGGTCATTACCATTTAGCGAGTGTGCGACCGTATTGGCTCGCGAACATGTGCTTACTTAACAGTTTTATCACGTTTGGTAACTCTCTCTGCGATGCGAGAAAACATTTTCCTGAACGTTTGCCCTCTTTGATGTTTATAGCCTGCTACAGTTAATTTGTTTGCACGGGGTTTAACGGCGTGTCTAAAGCCAAGGACATGGTCATCTACATATATACAATGTGTTTGACATAGGGTACGTCAAAATCAACAACAACAAAACGAATAATGCGTAAACATCTATGTTAAGATTGAACTACTGAAGCAGAAAAGGGTATCTGTAATAATATTACGTATATAGAATAACCTATTTGGACCGCGTACGGTATTATATAGTGAACTATAATGTGCTTTTTGCAGTCAGCGCATGAATGTCTCGACGATAGATAAGACCTGCCATTCAAAACCTCGTAAAAAAGTCGTTAATATTGTCGTCAGAGATTTCATCATCGTAACGGTTCCAAAGGCAATACAGGTTTCATTTAAATTAAGTATTTCGTATGATGACTAGAATTCTGTTTTGTAAAACGACTGTACATTAAATGCAATTTAATCAGCAAAAGTCGGTAAACTTGTCTGGATGAAAAACAAACTTGAATCATCGATTTCTCTCCCAAGGCGACATTTTGTTCTGTAATGACTAAAATGTTTCTTAAAATGTTATTCATTGATCATTAAACATATATTACATATCTCTGATTATAAATGGCGTCACATGGAAAGGTATATATAATCACAATACACCCGATATAGCGGATTTTAACATAATACCAAACAACCATAAACGCAGTATTATATTTACCTGTATCTAAAATAAATTTTAAAACTAATTTAAAACTAAGGATGATTTCATATAATCAACGCCAATAATGAGGTATAAAAAAGCTGTGTATGTAACCTATATTCGTATCAGTGCGTAGTGTATGTTTGATAGTTCTTATATCAAAACCAGAATCGTGATATATGAAGTGAAGTCTGACTTCTAACTGCATAGATTCTTAGGAAATGAAAGACACACATCTAAGGTACTTCATGTTAATCGGTGGATTAGACAGTTCTATCTTGCTTTTTAACTCTAACACAATGACTAGAGGAAATGTTCATTGTGTTAACTCCGTATCACGATCCATTAGCATTATACTTCAATCTCGGTAGATAACTAATCAGGTTTCCGGGTTAATGAAATGTCTATTTCCCTCTTACCCAAACAATGCAAACATTATAAAGCATTCACTAAAGTCCATAATGACAATTAGTGCTTATTCCCTCAATCGCATACACCGACGAAGAATATTTCAGGTAAAGTAACTTCACATACATCATAAATGCAAGTTCCATTATGTACGATTTTATCTGAAGTTGGCGCAAAAACAACACCAGCTAAATCAGAGCTGTGAAGACTGTAAAATGCATAGCACGTACATGTTTATACCAACTGAAAAGGGCTACAGTTGTAAATGTCTTATACACAACATTTGTTTCCACTGTTCGTATTTCGTCATCAGTGAAACCGGCGATTCGGGTCAAAGCAATGCTTGAGCTGACAATACATTTTTCTACACTCGCGTCTGAATCGGTCATCAAGAAAGCAGTACACAAGAGGGTTGGTCACGTTACTCAGGAAATATCCCCGGATTAGAATCGAACTGAGAGCACCAATCGAGGCAGCAATGCTGTCATAAGACGCGGGACTGACCCCCTGTATGATGACAAGGACAAGGTGGGGGAGGTAGCCAGCATACGATATGGCCGTGGCAACTAAAAACATCAGCGTTATTTGTTTACTTCTGTCGAAGATCTTCATTTTTTTCGCCGACATTTTGAAGGCGGACACGGTCGACACTGACCTAGCAAGTGACTTCCGGTTATGCTGACCGTAGCTTGACTCGTCCTCATGGACATGTACAGAGTTGTCGTCCCTTTTAAGTGTGGTTGTGACTCCGCCGTCCGAGCTTATTGTCCCGCCTCTACACGATGACAAGCTATTGAGTCGTTGCTTTGGTGACGACGTTTGAGACGCCCGTCGGAACTTCATTTGACGATAGAGGACTCGTCCGATAAATGTGTACGTTACAACACATACAACGAAGACGGTTGTACACAATAATAGAAGGAATGAAGAATACATTTTAAAATAAGTTTTCTTATAAAGTTTGGAAACAGTACAATCAGATCCGATGAGTTCCGGAAAATTGTCAACAGGTTTAGATGTTGGTCCATAGAAAATCAGGGCAGGAATCGATAAAACAAACGAAACGATGACAGTTATAAAACATGAATATTTTGCTTCCTTTGCAGTTAGTTGTCTCCCCATTGGAACACATGCCTTCCGATAGCGTTCTACTGCAATTACACCTAGCAGTATGCCCGAACACAATGTTACGAAATGGTTCAGGAACCGGAACACCTTGCATGCACTTATTGACGTGAACGTATAGCTATGTCGAGCGTCCATGATCTCAAATGGAATACTGCAGGAGCAGGCGACAAAGTCAACGGCGGCTAACCACACAACGAACATTTTGTGGTTCGAAGTTTTATATCTATACAAGTAAACTAGAAATGCATGGGCATTTCCAATAGACCCGACAACACACAGTATAGCAAGATAAACCACCGCTGGGATGTATTTGTCACGGAACTTTTCCAACTCTAATGTGTTCAAATCCGCCCCTGTGACATTATAAACACTAGAAGTCCACATGGTTGTGTAATTATCCATATTGGTTACATCGGTGGTGGTGAAATGCGACGTTGCGCTGTCATCAGGTTTAAATATTGTCGAATCTTTAAGTATGGCTGTGGTCGAAATCTCATCAGAAAACATATCTGAAACGTTTGAAAAAGTGATTATTCTGATTGATTTAACAGTACGTCACAAATATCATCCCTACTGATAACAATATCAATCCAGATAGCCCGTGTAGAAGTGGTCCTTATCAAAATAATCCTGCTTATAAACCACACGTATGTATGTCGTAATTAGGAAAGTTCAGCTATAATTGTTTCGTACAATAAGAGTCCTAGTCATGATACTTCATCCAATCAGAGGGACCCTCAGTGACAGTCACTGGTTACTATTCGTGGAAAAGCCACTCTCTCACTTTCGTATGTTAGTTTTTTGAAAATTTAACTCAGATGAAATGACCTTGTTGTTTTCATGTTCAAAAGAATATGTAAATTAATCTTGAAAAAATGAATCAGATAAACGTGTTAAATTAGGAAAGTCTTCTCGCAGACTCGGAAAGTTGTCAATCTATGTTTAGTGTTGTAAGTATACATATATATTATTATAATTACATAATGATAATTTCGGCGGCTGATCCCTAGCCGTTCTTATTAAAAAGGATATATATGAAAGAACAAAGTCGTGGGTGAACAAATATTGGTAGCGTAAAATAATTAATCAAATCAAAACTTGCCTTACATACCTTTTTCAGTATCCAGCCAGGTCGACCTTGTACCTTATATCTTCGGAAAAAGTGGTAACAAAGGAAAAAAATTGAATTAAAATTTCAGTCTCAGAAGTTCAACATAATGACATGCTTCCCAGGATCCAATTCACAAGTATTGTTAAACACGCACGCCGAATATATGTTTCTAGTCAAACAGTTATTAATGATTACGATATTACTTACAACAATAACTCGAGCGTGTCACAGAGTCAAGAAGATGTGTTTGTATGATAGGCTCCGAAGGTCGTCGAATGCTCTTAGTATCACACAGGATGCACTTGTTTGACCCCATAGTCCCGCATCGCATTGTGATAATAATTGGGTCTAAGGATAGAGGTTAAGTGATATTTGTAACTACAACTGTCCTCTACCGGAAGTAGGTGCTTATACGTTATCCCGAGACAATATTTTGATGTCCCGGGAAACGACGGGAGGGGAGAGAGGCTTGCCTCTGGAACACAGTAGTAATATACACGAATTTTACCATCCCCATCTACCGTGTGCATCTTCTGGGCTGACAAGACTCAACGATATTTGTTCCGGCCTGTGTAGTAGTTTTTTTTCGATTACTGAAAAATCCTCTAAACGGATAGATAAATGATGCTTCTGAACCTCGAAATAAATGTCAATATGTCAACACATTTACTTTTGGGGAGTTTATGTCTTTTTGAAGGATGTATAGGAAGATTGTTTTATTCTTTTGATTTCTTTAAGAAACAAACACAAATGTGCTTAAGATGTATGGTTATGGTGACTATCAGAGGACAATGGTATAGTAGGGCGGAACACTATATATCCGTCAATTGCTAATCTCACATACTAACCGGGGTACAGCAGGGCGGAACAATATCTGTCCGTCTAATGCTAATCTCACATACTGATAAGGGTACAGCAGGGCGGAACAATATCTGTCCGTCTAATGCTAATCTCACATACTGATAAGGTACAACAGGGCCGAAACTATATATCAAACCATTGATTATCTCATATACTGACAAGGGTAAAGCAGGGCGGTCCACTATATGTCCGTACATTGCTAATCTCACATACTAATCGGGGTACAGGGCGGAAACTATATGTCCGTCCATTGCTAATTTTACATACTAAAAAGGGTATAGCAGGGCGGAACGATATATGTCCGTCCATTGCTAACCTCACATACTAACAAGGGTACAACAGGGCGGAACACTATATGTCCGTTCATTGCTAATCTCACATACTAAAAAGGGGGCTACAGCAGAGCGGAACAATATATGTCCATTCATTGCTAATCTCACATACTAACAAGGGTATAACAGGGCGGAACACTATACGTCCGTTCATTGCTAATCTCACATACTAAAAAGGGGGCTACAGCAGAGCGGAACAATATATGTCCGTCCATTGCTAATATCACATACTATGAAGGGTACACCAGGACGGAACATTATATGTCCGTCCATTGCTAATCTCAAATACCTAAAATGCAAGTGTACATCAGAGCGGAACAGTATTTGTCCGTTCATTGCTAATCTTAAATACAAGCAAGGGGGGTACATCAGGGCGGAACAATAAACGTCTGTCCATTGCTAATCTCACATACTATCAAGGGTACACAAGGGCGGAACATTATAATTCCGTCAATTGCTTATATCAAATACCTAAACTACAAGGGTACAGCAGAGCGGAACATTATATGTCCGTCCATTGCTAATCTCAAATACCTAAAATGCAAGTGTACATCAGAGCGGAACAGTATTTGTCCGTTCATTGCTAATCTTAAATACAAGCAAGGGGGGTACATCAGGGCGGAACAATAAACGTCCGTCCATTGCTAATCTCACATACTATCAAGGGTACACCAGGGCGGAACATTATAATTCCGTCAATTGCTTATATCAAATACCTAAACTACAAGGGTACAGCAGAGCGGAA